GGTACAGATGGCAGTGTCCAGGGCATGTGGGGTGTCCAGAGCAAGAAATGGCTGATTTTCGTGACCAGCAGAGGACAGTCTTCTGTCTTCCTCTCTGAGGAAAAGTTTGGGAGCACCAATTAACTGCAGTGTGTCAAGAGGAAGGATCTGTGGTCACTTGCAGGTCTTGAACTTGCCATAAAAGCTTGGTGGTGCCTTGGACAAGGCAGTATTTTAAGTTCTGACATGGGAGTCCATAGCTGTAGTTTGTCTCCCCAGCTTCTGTTCTTCATTAGAACATACTTCCTGCTTCTGTTCTTCAGCTGTTCTGAAAAAAAACTGTATTCAGTTATGCTCAGCCCCATCAATTCCCAGGGAAAGTAAGTAAAGTATTGGTGACTTTTGGGGTAGTCTTGCCCAAGGAAAGAGTTTCATTCTAGCTCTCTCCTTTCTTTGTTTTTTTCCTTTCTGCTGTTGTGTTGCTCAGTTCTCTGGTAATCTTTGTTCAGGGACATTTGTTAAGACAAGCTGATCCTAATGGTTTCTTTGGGCCTCCGCAGCCAGCAGAATGGCTGTAGCAGGAAGCAGACACATGTTTTCTGAGTACAGCGTCAGAGCTGAGTAGTTCAGTAGTCTTTGTCACTCTGAGACACTCTGGATAGCAGTCCTGTCACTGATTTTACAACATAGGGATGTGCTCTAGCATCACACAGTCTTTAAGGTTCTTTCCAACCCTGACCATTCTAGGAGTCTATGATCACCTAACCAACATCTGGTTGAACTTGGATAGCTACTGTTATTATACTGCAATTTGTATGTCTCCAAATGAATTTAGTTCTGTTAAAAAAAAAACAAACCAAACCTAATCTTGCTTTTCTTAGTCTTTTCCTCAGCCTGTGAATTGAGGGAGATTTCTTTCCCCAGAAAGCCAGCAGCATAACAACTCTACTGTTTGAAGGATGGCTTACTTTGCGCTCTGGATATGCTTGATTACAGTTACACAGAGACTCAAACCACTACATAAGCTGTTAATGTAGAAGCACAAATAATAATATTGCAGAGGTGTTACATCACTGAAAGTGGCCCAGGTCCAAAGCAGGATTTGGTTATGTGCTTCAGGCGGTTGGGTTATATGCCTGTACCAGATGGAGACTTAAAATTTTCATCAGCAGGTTTATAAACACAAAGAATATCCTTTTATCAGCCTCCAGGTCTTTTACTAATAAGCTGCAAATGCTGAACTTTAATTAGCAGGGAGTGGAGGTGCAGATGAAATAAGATACATTCTTACTGATGATTATCCATCATGTGAGAATAAAAACAAGACATGAGTAATGGCCTGTTTCAGTTTTTTGGGGCTTTTCTGTTGGTGTGTTTTGTTTTCCTTTTGATGCATACTTGGTAGTATAAATGAGTGAAAATAGCTAAAAAATAAATTGAGGCAGATTCTCTGGTGATGAAACTCCATTGCAGGCAAATGGAGTGTGAGTTTTCAGCCCTGCTCATCTTTGCATTGACTTCTGTAGGCCAGGTGAACACAAGGGTGTGTGACAGCTGTGGGGGTAAGTTTGCCATGGAATCATTCCCCCACCCTTTACTCAGTCTTGTCACATAAGTCATAGGGTCACAGAATGGTTTGGGTTGGAAGGGACCTTAAAGCTCATCTAGTTCTAACCCCCTGGGGATACCTTCCTCTAGAGCAGGTTGCTCCAAGTCCCGTCCAACCTGGCCTTGAACACTGCCAGGGATGGAGCAGCGACCATGGATGGGCAAGGATAAAGAATTTACAAAACTACATCTTTTCTGCTGCTGAGAGCTAGCCAGAGAGGTCTGGCCTTTGAAGTATCACTGCTGTGTGGAACCCAGGAATCCCCACTTTCTTGAGGGGTGCAAGTGCATGGAGAGGGAAAAGGGATTGATTAGTTTAATGCTGCCTTTTTTTTTAGCAGTGTGTTTGCTGGCCTACATGGCGTGCTTGAGCGCTGTATGTGTGCCCCAGCTGAGAAGCTCTTTCTAGACCCTGCAGGCATCCAGCTACTGGGCTTGTGCTTTGTGGTTTATAAATCATTCAGGAGACTTGTGCGTTACAACAACAGTATCAGCTCTTTAGAGTGTGTCAGTGTCGTGGTTTAAACCCAGTCAGGTAATTCGTTCGCTCACTTCCCCCCCTTTCTTGCCCTCCCCCTGCTCTCGGAGGGACGGAGAGGAGAATCAAAAGAATGCAACTCCCACGGGTTGAGATAAGTACAGTTTAGTAACTAAGGTATAACACAAATCACTACTGCTACCACCAATGATAATAATGATAAAAGAAATAACAAGGGAACAGAATACAACACCTCACCACCCGCTGACCGATAACTCGCCCCCCAAGCCCGACCAAGCTCCGACCGATACCTCCTCCAACCCTGCAGTCTCCCAGCCCTTCCGGCTAACTCCCAGTTACATCCTGGGCATGACGTGCTGTGGTATGGAATAGCTCTTTGGTCAGTTTGGGTCAGGTGTCCTGTCTCTGCTTCCTCCCGGTTTCCCCTCCTCCCTGGCAGAGCATGAGGCTCACAAAGTCCTTGGCCAAACCAAAACATCCTTGTTATCAGCTATGTTCCCGAGCTGAAAGTCAAAACACTGCACTGCACCAGCTACCAAGAAGGAGAAAAAATGACTGCTACTGCTGAACCCAGGACAGTCAGGGAAGGACCTTGACTGGTATCTTTTAGAGAGGAAAAGGGTTGAGTGTATGTGCAAAGTTGGCACATAGTTTGAGAAGGTTTTGGGAAATGGTAAGGGAAGTTAAGGAAAGATGCAACTTTGTGTGATGTAGATTGGTCCTGGAAATTCTGCATCTAACTTTCCATGTCTTCCCTTAAGAAGGCTTTGCTAGAAAAGTAAGCCACTAAAAGACCTACTGTTGAAAAACAGAGATATATAAATTCTAATCAGTAGCTGAAAGAAAAATGTTCCACCAATAATATAATTGAGTACTTTCTGACTAATCAAGCCCCAACCCCCTGAAATACATACCTTCCTCAGTGGATTGTGATTCCACAAAGGATGGCTGCTTCATAGGTCATAGTAGAATAGAATAGTTTAAGTTGGAAAAGACCTTTAAGATCATCTCATCTGACTAGACATCTAACACTGCCAAGCCCACCACTCAACCATTTTAAATACCTCCAGGGATAGTGAGTCAACCAGTTTCCTGGGCAGCGTGTTCCAGTGCTCGATAACCTTTTCAGTGAAGAGATTTTTCCAAACATTCAATCTAGGATGGTGGGAGAAAGGCAGAGCAGCACTGATTGCAAAGATCTCCCCTGACAGGATGAAACCAACGGGATTTTGTTCTTACCACATCGTGTAGGGTTGAGATTTGTAGCTGGAGGCAGCTGCTGCTCTTTCACAAAATATGGCTTTGAGCTGTGCATAAGAAGTAGGAAGACAACAGCACAGCACAGGGGTTTGCAGTTGCTACAGGGGTCTGAGTACAAGTGCCCCTTGATTGAATTATCTGAGATGAATGAGCCTTCAGTTCTAACTTAACATTGGCACCAAGGCAAAATGGACCTGTTCTCTTTGATTTGCTCTGATTTGCTACTCTGATGACATATATTGATGTTAAAAGAAGGCCACTAAGCTTTTCTTTGTGCTGCATTGGAAATGACACATTGCAAGATGAGGAAGAGTTCTATTTTAAATTGCAGAATTTGAGATGAAGTGAAATTGAAAAGAAAGATCAAAGATAGAAAGTAGGGGGAGGAAGAAAGAGGCAACGTACAATGTGGCTGCCGAGACATCTTAATTTCATTTTAATGAGTCTCTGACCACTCAGGGAGGCGAGGGTCATTCTTTGTGTTGCTGGGGGGGGGGAAGAACAGCCTTCTGCCGCTGCACTGAGATTTGCTTTGAACGTGGTCTCTTACCAAAGCGAAGGGCTGCACTCTGCTTCCTGCTTCACAGGATTAGAAAAGACTGAGCTGTTTTCTAACTCCTGCGTCCTACTTACGTAACTTGCAGATGACGGCTGTGCAACCTCTGCCTGAGCCCTGGAAAATTCTCCTGTCGGTGACTCAGGTGCTTGGCACACAGGCTTGTGGCGCAGCAGGCTTAGAGATGAGATTGCAGTTAGATGCACACACTGGGTACCAGAGCCCAATTCAAGGTCTCTTTATGGAGGCTCTTCCGACTAGAAGCTGTGTGTGACTTCCTCATCATCCTGGTCATGTCATTACCAAGTGTCTCTCTGCTGACACTATATTAATTATGTGCAAGTACAAAGCATCCCCCTTTGTTTGCATTGGAACAGAAGAGAACCACAGGCCTGACTGTTGTCCAGAGATGTGGGTTAGCAAGGAAGGGGAAGAGCTAGGCAATAGTGAGTCCTCATCCTTTGTATAAGGCTGCAGGATGTGCAGAGAACATTTGGAATGTAATCATAGAAGGGACCTTAAAAATCATCTAGTTCCAACCCCTGGATCTTCATGGGGGAGCACGAGGTCCCCTTCTACAGTCCCCATTCCTAGATTCCATGCAGTCACCATAACACTCTTGGTTTGGAGGCTCTAGATCTGGCTGAAAGCTAGGGGACAGGACAGCACATTGTGCTGTAAAATTGAGACTATGAAAAGGGAAAGATTAGACCCCGGGGATGAAGGGAGAAAACTGAAACAGAGGGAGACATGCTTTAGCTGCAAACTAGACTTCCCTGTGCTTCAGATGTCATCTCCAGCAGCAGCAGATCCCAATTTCCAGCTCTTTGGAACTGAGAGGAAGGTGTGTACCAGTGAGTACACTCAGCCACTGCAGAGGGTCAAGGGTGGGACAACTGTGATATCCCCAGATGCAGCCCATCTTGTATGAATCTATGCAGCCAGCCCCTCTGGCAGTCCAGCCAGCTTTAAAGCAGTACTTAGCTTGTGCCTGCACAGGGTTTGTTGGCCAGACTGCAGTGAGGGGGGACAAAAAAAAACATCTTGCCACAGAGATGACCTGGTGACTAATCAGTTTCATTGATGTTGTGCTTGCAGGAGAGAGCAATCTATCCTCTGCAGTTCCTGCGGGCTTTGCTGCTGGAGGCTCTGAGGAAGCAAACGTGAGATGTTATCCAGAAGCAGAGTTATGTGAGCCCACCAAACCTATCGGTGCTGCGCTCTCCTCCATGTATGAACATGGTAATGCAGAAGATACCAATATCAGGAAATCTCTTGATGGCTTCTACAAAATGTATTGTAAAAAACGGCCAGACAGAACGGATCCCACCTACGAGGCTGCATCACGATGTCTGTCACAGAAAATTTCAGAGCTGGCAAACCGGGATGGAACAAAATACGCATCGCGTTGCCTGCAAATGGCCCAGGTGGTCTTGAACAGAGATGGGTGTAAGATCTTTCCAAACCACCCCACTACTGCTTGTTTTTCAAAGCCAGCTGAAGGAGAAGTTGTGTTGGAAGACATAAAGAGAACACCTGGACTCTCCGATGATGTCCTGCAATTCCTCTTGAAACAAACATGGACAGAACAGAGCCCTGACATGTCACATGAGAAATGAGCAAGACACAGTGGGAGGGGGGATGTTTCTGTCATTGGAGATTTACTTTCACTGTGAAAAAAGGTGATCTTAGAAAGTAACTCTTCTCTTAGCACCCTCTTGAACACACTTATTTCATGGAGGAATTCCATATTCCATCTGGAGCAGACCTTGCCATCTTGGTCTCTGCAGAACAGCGCTGCATAAGGAGCATCTGTGGTCCCCATGAAACTGCTTCAGATGTGTTGACTTAAGTGGGGTGGGTGATCGGTGATGCAGTGTCTGCTGCTGGGACATCAAACATGGTGATTTATACCTACCAGGCTTTTAAATTGACCTGCATTCCTACGCCAGCTGAACAGTGGCCCAGCCCAAATTCAAACTTTGCATAGGCAAGGATGTCCAAGTGCTGTTGACTATAACACACTGACTGAACAAGCTTGGAACAATATTCCTCAGAGCTAGGGAGGAAATTTAAGACTGTTCTGTACCTGACAGATACTATAACTCCTGTGCCTCCAAAGGGTGCCTGATAGCCTGTGTGTTTACTTAGAGATATACAATTCTACAGATCATGATTGCAACGCAGGTGAGCTTTTTCAACAAGAAAAGTGGTTTTGTCAGAGAGGAAATAAAGCTTCTGAGAAGGTTATTTTTTTAACAGGAAGGATAAAAAAAGAAATTAAAAAAGCTTTATCACCGTAGTGATGTTTCTAACACTTCAAGTGCTCCAGCTGAACAGATTGAGGATTTTTTTCGTGTCTGTATGAGGTGGTTTAAGAGCAACCTGAAATAGATTCGTGAGTAAGGGCTCTGCAGAGGTGTCTGTAGGGAAGCTGCAGAGTTGTTGCCAGCTGCCCTGGTAGCTGCCTGCTGTAAGGAAAAGCAGGAGAAGCAGAGCTGACATATCAGCATGCCCAAGACTGTGGGTCACTTGGTTGGTTCTGTAGGGCCAGTGTTGCTTTCTCGAGCTGTCTCCCTACACATTATCTCCTGCTGATTTTTGCTACCACAGGGTCTGAGCTCAGAGCTTTCACAGAGAGAAAATCAATGCTTGTTGGTTGAGTACACTCTTATCTTTGTTGGCACTGCACAAGACCTTGTGATCACTTCCCTGGTGTGTTGATGGATGAGGGAAAATGTTCTGTGAGATGTTTGAACCACCCCACCAGTAGGGATCATCTGGTGTTGGTTACAGTAAATGTTTGCTTTTTCTAAGCTCTGCTGCTGTTTATACCCGCAACTTTCTTACTCTGGTTTTAGTTGGCAAGATCAGCACTGGCTGCAGTGGGAACTGGCCTAATTCACTGGTTGCCCAGCTTAGGTTTTGGTGGCTGCCACTTGCCTATGGCATTAAGAGGTGACCTGAAGGACTAATTCCCAGCAGTTGGTTTTGGTAGGGAATTTAAAGTGCTTTAAGTCTGATGCATTGCTATGAATTTGGCAGGCTTAATTCTCCTTTGCTTTGTGCTTATGGGGTGAATCCCAAGGAAAATAGCTGCACAAGGGATGCAGGACTGGGCTCCCACTGTCAAAGCTGTGGTGGGAAGGGTGCTGCTCTTGCACGGGGCTGCAGTTCGGGTCCCTCTGTTCAGCATGTGGGAGCCCTTTAAAATGGTCAACCAGATCCAGTCCCTCTCTGGACAGGTTATCGGTTATTAAAGCTGTGCTTTACTGTCTGCAATTATGAATGTTCTGTTCTTGAATGAGGTGTCAGGCTCTAAAAGAGACACTTGGATTGGAGAAGATAGGTACATTGTAGTCCTTACCAGGGTTGCCAGGCCCACTGCTTTGATTTAGATTTTGCTTTGTTTCACAGCTTGCAAATCAGAGAATTCTTGTGGAAAAATACTGAGTTTTGGCTTCTCCAAACTTTTATTGTTAGATTTTAATTAAAATTTAGAATAAACCTGATTAGTTTATGGCAGATTTTCATATATTAGATGCTTACAGAAGCAGAGCAGAGCTCAGCTAGGTAAATTAGGCTCCAAAATCCCATTGGTTTTTAATGACAACAAAACAAGCTAAATGTTTAAGCAGTTTTCTCAGATATCTGGTGTAAGGAGCTGAAATATGATAGAGTTTAGAATACCTGATCATTACTTCTGTGAAACACCTCCATTCCTGCAGAAGCACTTAATATTAGGAAGTGTTTCATTGGAATCTTACAGTTCAATCACTTCTATTAAGTTAAACAAGACTACAGCACAGAGAATAATACTCATCACTCCTTTTCCCACTCACTGATAATTAATTTTTTACAAACCTGTGCTGGAACCTGCTCTGTGTATTTCCAAGTCTGCTGAAAGCCAAACCATTTTTATTACTCATTTCCTTGATAAACATCTCTCCTCAATTCCTTTGAGACACAGGGAGACGAATGCATCTCTCTCCTTTGCCAGGTGTTTCAAGCAAGACTCACCAATTGCTTTGAACAGGCTGTTCTTGAAAGAAGCACAGTCCTATTTGGCATTTTATGCTGCTACATAGAAGACATCATAATAATGCGTATTACTTCTGGTGAGCAATAGCACAGGGGGGCTAACTTAGTCTATTTGAACTTCTTAAACTGATTTGCAGTTATAACTATGATGTGTTGCTTTGAATTTGCAGTTATAACTATGATGTGTTGCTTTGAATTAACTAAGTTGGATTTTTTTTTTCCCCTCCTATTTTTGTGGGTTCTTTGCTTTTTTTTGTCTGTTGCTTTTGTAACTTTTCTTAGCCTAAGGGCAATCCATCCACGTTTTGGATCCTCTAAAATACTCTTTCACAGACTACTTCACCTCTTTCTTTCAGTGGAGTCTTCAGAAAGATGGAAGCAGCTTTGAAGGAGCAATCAGCTTAAAATGTGTGAGGCTGCCAAGATCCTGTGTCAAGCCAATCCCCAGCAGTGTCGAGTAGGACAGCCGTGTTAAAACGCCAGTGCACCTCCCACCACTGCAAACACAGCCACAAGTGCCTTGTCCTCTGCTGCCAGTTGTAGAGGCACGAACTTCGCCAGAGCATTGCCCCTTACAAACAAGTGTCCAGGCAGTGATGGGAGACAGGGGAGGACAGGACCCCAGGAACAAAGAGAGCAGGAGGAGGGATTTGGAGGGGAAAAACAGCCCCAGGGGCACAGGTGGGTGAGTAGGTGCCTCAGGTTGGGCTTTTGGGCAGCTGCTCTACTGGGTGTTGGCCCCACCCCAGCCAGTCACCCTGTGGACAGGAGAAGGAGGCAGCCCCAGTGGGGAAGAGTGCTCCTTCCTTGCTAGTTTAAACTCAGTTTAACAGCGCTTCTGTCCTGTTTCCCTCCCCACCATCATCCCTCCACCAACCTCCAGTTCCTTTATGTCTTTTGTGGTGGTGCTAATGAGATCCCTGGAGGAGTTTTCCATTTAAAATGAAACAGATGTCTCTGAGCCCAAAGAGCCTGATGTCAGTCAGCAACAGAGGAATGAACCCACACACAACCACTTAAGGATTCTCTCTTGGAGGCCTCTTATCTACTCGCTCAGTGGCTTTTTTGCTGCCTTACTCCCTCTGCTAGGAAGACGTGTGCCTTTCTGCATGTTTTCCACACTCTGTTTTGTGCACTGAAGGGGTGGTTTGCTGCAAGATGTTGCTTGCTTACTTGGGAGGCCATACATTCTCCAGTGTGGATGTGTTCAAGGAAACATGGAAAGCAAGAGGAGGGGATGTGCTTTAGTTGACAGTATACGGGCAAAGAAGAAAGCACAGTTGGGATCTCAAAGGTCAACTTCGAGGTTCCCAGCTAATGTTCTTACTCACACCGCTTGCACCAGTTTTAGCACTTGATCTTCAGCATTTCACTTTGGAGATAGCTCTTACCCTGCCAGCCCAACTGCTGAAATTCCTTGTCTCTTCCCTTTCCTCTTTGGCCAGATCCAGGCACGGGTGTTCATGTTTCATGCAGCCTGCTGCAGTTTCACATGGAGCTGCTATTCCTGCCTTTCTGCCCCCAGCAGGTTGGCACAGCTCCTCTGCTCTGCAGGTGTTTCTAGCAAAGGCAGTGGAAATTTGGCTTTAACCAAAGCAGGAAGAGGCCCTGCTGGCCCAGCTGGCTGCAAATTATGGCCAAGATCTATGGATTTGATGCAATCTCTCTTTGCAAATAGATTTACACTTGTCTTTGAGTCATCATGAAACTGATACATCTGGCTTCTTGGTGGTTCTGCTTAAGGTGTTGCTTGCTTGCTTTTATGGCAAGGGTGTTGTACACCTGCTGGAGGGCACACAGAATATTGGAGCAGCCCCCAGCTACTCAAGTTAATGGTGCCAGGGATAAAAAAGAGCTGAGATGAGGATCCAGCATAATTTCTGTAGTAATAAATCTGTCTGCAGGTGCTGGTCTGCAGGAATCCAGAGAAAAGCATCCTGCAGGCAAAAATTATGGAGAAGGGTAATATCAACTGCTTCAGCAATAGATACAGCTGGAAAAAATAAACATGCTCTGGAGTGTGCTATAAGTAATTACAGAAACGGTATTGGCCTTTCCCTGCCAGCTCACATTGCTTAACCAACACAGATCTGCCACAGCTACAAGGGCATTGATACTGATGGATGTAGGGAGCTATTGCTAAAGGATGTACGTGGAGGAAGGGAGGTCTTCAGTGTGAATCAGATGTTGTTGCTCATAATTTTTCACTAGTATTTATGCTCTTTTACACACTTAAATATGAGCTGCTGTGGAAAATCTTTTAACTGCCAATTTAAGAGAAATAACCTGGAGAAGTGAGCTGAAGAAGTCAGAGGACTGCATCTGGAGCCCTTCAGTTGCTGTATTGGGTTTGGCGATTAATTGTTTTTTGCTTTGGGTGTTACCACGTGGTCTGCTACTCAGATTTGTTGGAATTAAAAACCCAAACCCAAACCCATACAATTTCCACAAAGGAAGCTCAGAGCAAAATAGGAGGTTCCTGTTCTGTAGGAGAGTTCTGCTACTGATGATGATTGAGAGAGACCTGCTGGGTTTTACAGAAGAGGAAAGAAACCCTAATTGACTGTAGTCTCACCCTAGATCAGCCCTGGAGCCAGACGTGGCCTTCCCCACTCATAACAAATGTGAGGTATCTGTCTGGACCCCCTCTTTGAGACTGTGAGGAGAGAGGGCACACATGGAGTGCTCCTCCTGAGGCCTGGAAAAACCTGAGCTGCCATCTTTTTATCTGCTTTTTGAATGAGGTTTTGAAAACATCCAAGGGAATAGCTGTTCATTTGTTGTTATGGGTTTAAAATGATGATAGAATCGTAGAATTAACTAAGTTGGAAAAGACCTTTAGGATCATCAAATCCAACTGTTACCCCAGGACTGCCAAGACCACCACTAAACCATACCACTGTGAGCTTCATCTAAACAGTGTGTGAACGCCTCCAAGGATCGTGACTCCACCACTGCCCTGGGCAGCCTGTTCCAATACCTGAGCACTCTCTCTGTGAAGAAATCATTCCTAATACCCAATCTAAACTTCCCCTGGTGCAGCTTCAGGCTGTTACCTCTTGTCCTATCACTTGTTACTTGAGAGAAGAGGGAGACCACCACCTCACTATATCCTCTTTTCAGGTAGTTGTAGGGAGCGATAAGGTCCCGCCTGAGCATTCTCTTCTCTGGACTAAACATCCCCAGGTCCTTCAGCTTCCCCATCACATTTCTGCTCCAGACTCTTCACTAGCTCTGTTGCCCTTCTCTGGCTCTGCTCCA